TTTACACATCAAATTGTTATTTCGGCTCGAGGCGATACAGAAATGTAATGTGCCCAAAGGCGCATTCGAGCCGAAACAACGATTTTGAAACAAGACAATTATTTTCTTAAAGTTTCTCTTATTCAAATCGAGTTTTAAATTAATTGGACGTTAAATATGTCAAGATATTTCCCTAGCTGTCACGTTAAAATCGTATATATTCACCGATACGAATAAAAATATCCATCTTCTCATAAAAAAAAAAAAAAAAAAAAACAACTGTGTCTTGATATCCGGAGATTGCTTTAAACGAGGGTGAACGAGCGCGTATGGAAAACAGATTGATGAGCAACGAGAGTCACACGAATCGACAAATTCCCTCGTTTTATAAGCGTCGACAAACAACTCTCGAAGTCTAACCGGGACGTCTCGCGCGTATCAGAGACTTATTTACATTGACCCTTAAATTTCTACGGATCGACGGCGACGGCGGCAGCGCGGCGGAAAGTAACTCAACGAGTGATTCAAGGAGAAACGAGACGCGGATCCTTGTAATGCCTATCTGGTTGCGCAACAACACCCGATACGCGGACACGCGTGTTCGCATACGTACACGCGTGTTATCTTGTGCAACCGGCTTTTCCTCTTTTCCCGTGTTTGGCATTTCGAAAACGAGCTGTCTCTTCTTTCGAAAGGGACAACCAGTCGCAATTCTCGCGCGCAACCTACGACATTCATAAATCAATGATAATTTATGAATGAGTTTTTTTTTTTTTTTTTATTATTAAATCTTAGAGAACTTCGAATTACGTTCTTCATTTCTTTTTTCCATTTTAATCTCAGTAATATCGCTTTTAATTATTTATTTATTCGAGCGTCAGTTTATCGGAGCTAAAAAGAGAGCACAGAGAGATTTTATATCAAATTCTTCTGTCAAACCTGTCAAAAACCGTGAAAAACGTTCTCACGCCTCTTTTGAGATATTATCAGTAATGTAAAAATGTAATTGAAGAGTGTTGAATATATAATAACGAAAGACGTGCTAAGAGGTAAACGTCTCTCTCGGTTTTCTCCCGGCCTTAGAGATACCTAATTAACTTTTGCCCCGCGAACTGGCGCGCTCGATGTGGGTCGCGCATAATGACAGACCAGTCGGGCTGAATTTTTGACGGCCGAGACGTAATTCGCGGACGATAATGTCTGTCATTGCGGCTGCACGCGCGCACACGTCCAAATTATCGCGTTGCCGATTATTGTGCAGCGACTCGCACACCGTCCGTAGTTGACATCACCAATTCAAATTCAGGTGAGTCCTTGCGGTGTCATGAACACGCTGTCGTCACGCTTTTCTTTCATTCGTCATTATCGGTTTCATATCACTCTCGAGCAAGCAAAGCATTCATAGATACTATTTCTATAGCATTTCGGACGGCGCTTAAAAATTGTATGATCTCTTAACACAAAAATAGTTTGTTGCGCATCCGTCGGCGAACAAATGTTGACCTTTCGACAAAAGAAGATTATAAAAATATCCTCGCGCAAAAATATTTACGAAGATATCACTTATGTAAGTGACATCTCTTTTTTACGATAAATTTTGCAAACCTGATAATGTCATGTTGTGTTACATCACGCACTTTATGAGCGTTTGTTGTGTGAAGTAGCCGCACTTAAATAATTACTTAGAGTTTTGACGGGAGAAAAACCATATGAAGAGAAATCAATTCAAGATTGTTCTAAATAAATTGACGATGATAAAAAATAAAATTATTACTGTTGTTAAAAAAATATCGTCGTAATTCCATTTTGGTTTCAACTGAGCATAACTGTTCGCTTCTTTTCTGCAAGAAAAACTCTGAAATTTTTTTCAAAATTTATACCTAGAAACAGTAAGCCAACCTAATCTCTCACGCAGATTCGAATTTTGGTTGTCGCTTTGTGAGAGCTTCGTTTAAAAGAACTAATGACGATACGTATTCCGGCTCTTTCCTAATCCGGCCCCGTTTAGGAGCCACGGACGGCTCGTCAGAATCGCAGTCACGCACGAAACGAGTCGGCCGGCGGCGGCGGCGGCGGCGGCGGCACACGGTGGTCCGGTATAAGAAAGAAAGGAAGCCGCTCCTATTATTAAGAAGGGCGAAAACGGGAACTGCGCTGGATATGAAACGCGCGTCGAGGATAAGAAGGAGGAGAAGAGAAGCATATTTTCTCGGACGAGTAACAGTTACCAAAAACCGATGAATACTGGGCCCTCGACTGGCCACCGTCCGGCGCAGCCGCCACCTGGCTCCTCTGGCCCTAAAACCTCTTGTTCACCTGGCTGTTCACCTTCCCCTCCACCTTTCCCCGCTCTCCTCGCATATCCTCGCGCGACGTGGTCTCTCCCCCACCTCGACTCAATCAGTCTCGTTCATCTTATTTTCGGGTCATTCAGCTGGTGCCACCGGTTCTCTGCGGGCTAGCGCACACTCGCTTGTTTGCTTCGTTCTGTTCGCGATGTTTCTTCACGCAGAGAATTCTCAATGGAATTCGTCAGCGGACGCACTTTTTTGCGAAGGTTCTCCCTCTTTGACGACACAACTGCGAGTAGTTTTTTGTGTGAAGCTCCCTTTCTTTCCCCGGGTTCAGACTCGGGGATACTCTTTCGATTTTTAATGGCGAATTATGTAATCGCCCGGATGGGACCGGAAACGAGGAGCGGGCGAGACGGAAAACCGCTCGATGATCGTGTGAAAGTGAATATTACGTGCTTTTGTGCTTGCGTAAGTCTCAATTCTCTCCACAAATTGATGAGTAAATTGTATTTAATTTTTAAACGAAGTTTTCTCAGACTTCGTGTGTCCAACCAATTAAAAATAAATTCAATATTATTGAGACAATAATTGTTCTGTATATATTCGAGATCTCGCGCTGTATATTTTAAAGACCATCATGATAAAAATAAAAAAAAAAAAAAACTTTCACAGAGAGAAAAAGTTTCTTAAATTGTGATCGAGAACAAAATATAGAAAACCACCTTTTCGTGCAATTTTAGAAACATTCGTTGATTGATCGATTCTCGATTGATCTAGACATCTTCGAATTAACGCTAATCAATCGTCCTGCGACTTTGATCGGTTTCGGTCAGACGCGGTCGCGACTCGGTGCATCGGCGAGCGAACTCGCTCTAGCGCAACTGCAATTATCTTCTGGTGCGTAGGTACATCAGGAAGCGTAATTAAGTTTTTTTTAATACATAATTGCTTCTTCCGCGACGACGATTACGAGTCGCTCGCCGATTATATAGTTGCTCGCACGACTATTGTTGCTTACCGTTTCTACAGAATAAGGCAAAGGTCAAGTCGTTAACTATCAAAATATCGTCGTGAGAGACAACACATCACAGGTGTGATTGTTGTGGAAAATCAGATACTTCGAATCTGCGAAGTTACTCGGCGCATGTCTCGTGAAAAGAATTTTTTACAATATTTGACAATCGGGAATGAGTCGTTGATTGAATTATTGACTCCGACGACGTAAAATGACGCGCGAACATAAAATTTTGAAAGTTCTCGAGACGTGAAGTCTAAGAAAAACCACAGCTGTGTTTTTACCACCTAGTGAGTTTCATAAGAAGAACATGAAACAACATAACGCGTAAACTTGTTAGATAAATTTCATTTGTTTATTACTGCGATATCACAGTGCGATTTTGTATTTTTATCAATTTATTTAATTAATTTTCTAATATTTAGCTGAATAAACATATTCTCTTTGATGAGGGCAAAAAATATATTTTTTAAACAGCTCTCAATTATTTTTCTCGTTCCGCTTAAAACATTTTATTTAAAACGTTAAGATCCTTTCTCAAATCCCGTATTTGACCTAAAACTCAACTGAACGAGAGAACTTAAATATTTACAGAAGATACGCGCTTTTGTTCGCTCTGTTATTTCTATACTTATAGGAATTGAAAGAGTTCTATTGCTCTTGACACTTTGTGTTATTGTGGACAAGATATTTGCACATTATAAACAGCGAAGCTTTGTATATATACAGTTCACGTAATATAATAAAAATTCAAAGTTTATATAAAAAATTATAAATTGCAAAAAAAATTTTCCAAGCAAGCAGGAACTGATATTTTTTTTTTTTCTAGAAAAACAAGTGTAAATATTTGAACTTGTGTAAATTGTGTCGCTTCTTCTCAGATTTATTTCGTCGCGCTGCAGTTGTCGCGCATCGATGAATGCGCTCGATCAAGCGATCAAGCGCCTTATTTGAATAACTCGCGGCACGAAGGATCGACAATGCACCGCCGCTGGTGCAATCTCGATTTTTGTCAGAGCGTAATGAGACGCCAATCGCAACCATTCGCTCGCCTCACTGGCGTAATGATTATACTCGTTATTGCGATCGATTCCACGCGATCATCGTCATCGGTGTATAACGTGCATTTTGTACAACCAGACGTGATTCTCCGCGGAAACGACGCCTTCGTGGTGCGATAATAGATCTGTGATTTTGCAATCGATAGCTCTTACCCGAAGAACGAAAAGTACAGAAACACGAGAGAGACAATAACATTAAAAATCGAAATGTTCGCGTGTTCTTCCATCAATTGTTTTTTTGTGTATTTTACGTAGAAATACAAGAAAAACAGAGATAGTTCGCTTTGTCGTACTTTTATACAATAATAACGTCTATTTTCGAGTGTTTGATAATGATAAAGAAAATTATTTACTTCCCATCGTATATCACGCACAAATATTTCTTCTAGATAGACGAGTGGCGGTAGATAAAATCAACCGAGTTTTTATCTCGAACTTTAATTCCAAGTATTCAAAGAATCAAAGTCTGTCTGTCTCGTAGCAGCAATATGTTTAGAAAGTTTACAGCGACTTTGTCGATTATGTAAAATCGCGTAAATCCGCAAACACACCACGAAGTGCATCGCGTCGTCGCGAGAGTTTCAAATAACCATGACAAGAAGAGGCAATCTTAAAAAAAAAAAAAAAAAAAGAAAGAAAGCTCGCACCAACCTTGTACGGCGAGAAGTATCACCAGCAGACCGAGTATTCGCGGCGGCAGCATCTTTATTCGCGTCTCTCGACTTCTTTTCGCGTGTTTTTCTTCGTTTTTTTTTTTTTTTTTTTTAAACCACTTGACAACTAAATGGCACAATGCGCACCACTTTATGTTCGGATCAAACTTCACGTGGGCGAATTCTTTGACGCGAGACGTCAAGATCTATGTTGCGCGTATGATTCGTATCGTTGTTATCGATATTCAATCGTCCGGAAATGTCTTTGTCGTCGTTGCCGAACGGAATCGAGCTGAATACCGAATACAAACTGAGCGTCGCGCGCGGTATCCCGAAGAGCGAACGACGACGGAATCGCGCCCCCGGCTTTTTACGGGGCCTGCGCGGACCGGCTGCGCACTCGGCGAATCTCTCCGTGAGCGACGCGTGTGCGCGACCGAGCTTTTAAGTGTGTGCGCGCGAGTGTGTGCGCGTGCCTGCGTTTCAAGGCCCGTTTCACACATTTCGTCCGATTACGATCATTTGAAAATGTCGCAATGTGTTACTCGGTTACTTGTCAAACTATTCCAGGCTGGAAAGAATTTTAAAAGAATCGAAAATTTCGATTCATGTACAGACACACACATTGTGTTTAAACGTTTTCGCACAGATGTTTATATCATGGTATCTTCAATTTTTGATTACAATTAATCTTAATTGAATCTTCGGTTTGAAAAAGTGAAGAAATATAAAAGACGGTGTCCGTAACTTCTAAATGTGTTTAGTTTGTAAAAAATAAGTAGAAATTCTGAATCGTTAGTTTATACAAAAGATAAAAACTATTTTTAAAACTCTCCGCTCAACTGTGTTTATGTTATTAGTATTGCGGTAATCTTTTATCTTTGCATAGATACGCGATGTAAATATTCTTAAGGCACAATAGGTCGCGATAAGGCCGTGTGGATCATTGACAAGTCGATCTGGATTCTGGAACGCAATTAAATTCATATCGATTTCTTATCAATTTTATATTTCACCACAGTTGGTTCTGCGCGCGCGTTTTTCATATAAAATTTCTATTGAAACAAATCGTCTTTCAATTTTTTCGGTATTACGAGTTAAGGATCTTTTCCCAGCTTTTTGCGCAAAAATATTTATGAGATCGAAAAACATATTCTGTATGTTACCTTATTATTTTCATTGAGCCGCGAGTAACGTCACAACGCGACATGCGTTTTAATTCAATAAATCCATCGTGGTTTCGTCGAGAAGCTGCTCGCGGGAACTGTAAACAAGTAGGTGTAAAGTTTCTCGCACACTCCGACGCATAAAACATAAGTAGCGTAATCGCAATAGCATGCCAACAATCGCTTACCTGCTCACGTATACAGCGACGCGATTTCCACGTGACAAACCAACCTGCCTCTCGGTAAGTCTTCCATGCTGCCCGTTCACTTTATCGCACAAGTCGCGCGATGATGACGGCATGAAACATTTAATTCCATTCCCGCTTTCTATGTAAACACCGCTGCCACTTCTGCATCCGCACGAAGGACGATGTGTCGTGTTTTTCTTCGAAGGTTGCGTTTTACATTTCTTAAAGAGAAGAAAAAAAAAAAAGAGGAACGTTAGTCATCGAAATGATTGAGATTTTGCGTAACAGAAAAAGATTTTAGGTTTTACGGTCGGCTAACGAGCGCGCCTCGTTTTCTGCAATTTCGTAATCGAGTTTTCATGTACGCGCAATCGTGTTTCTTGCAAAGAAACTTGACAAAGTTCTTTATCGTTTTACAAGCGAACACACGTGTCTTCGGAATTAACGTTTTCTGCGTTTGAAAAGAAAGTGGCTATCGGATTCAAGCTTCTTTTGAAGAAGCAGATGTTTCTAATTTGCTTCGACATTTCAGAAAATGTTATATAATCGTAAATGTTCTGTTATATTACTAACTGGTTTTTTCCACAATTCTTCTTACAAAAAAAAAAATGAATATGTTTGAGTCGCCCACATGTTTGCGATATGAATAATTTAAGACAGAGAAAGAGAGAGAGAGAGAGAGAAAAAAAAGATCAAATAAATCACATCATCGCGCGATTATTAATGTGACAAATAAAACGAGCTATTATATTATTATTAGCTATCTCACATATCGAGTGTACACGTGAATTGCATTAAATATACATGAGCTATGTATAGTATTATAATACTATATCTAAGCGACGCCATAACAATCGAGGTACTTTTTTTGGTGCAGATCATATTGATGTTGTGCGTCGTTATGGTATTCTGCAGGCATGACTTATCAACAGCATGACTAATGCTGTCGCAAAAAAATAGTGATGTCACGCACTACAAAGGTGCGCATTTCGTTCGGTGGTCAACCAATGGTGAAACCATGGGAAATAGCTTTTGTTGCGAGAAATGACAAGTTCCGGTCGAACTCCAATTGCTTTTCGAGGAAAACCTGCGGGAAAGTCCGCTTGAAATTTACAAAACAGAACGTCATTTGTCCGCAATTACTTGTCGCTATAAATATAAACGTATTGTCACACAGGAAAAAAAAATGTTATATCATTTCACCAATTGGTATCGACCGCGATGTGCGCGAAGAATTTATGATTCATCGCATCGCAAATAAGCAATTGTAATTAATGTCATCCGTCCATAAAACATATGTAAACGTTATGCAAAGTTAATACTCGTATCGCGACGTCTGTAATTTACGCATGGCAACATTTTCGGCGCGCCGTGTGCAATGCGGGTATATAAAATTATCAGTTAACTGTAATATCCTATGCACAATTTTCGTATTATTCTATTATAGAACGAGTTTTAAATATAGCTTCGCATTGTGTTTGTTTTGTTTCTAAGTTTGTATGAAAAAAAAGACTAGAGAGAGTCGCGTTCGCTTTTTTTCTAAACGCAGGAAACGCTCGTATTTAGTTCGCATTGATAAAGCGTGACGGAAAACATTTGAAACCCGCCAGGTGAGCGACGCCATGACTTTCCGCTTTGTGCGTGCAATGATAACAAACAGACAGGGAGAAGCTTCACGGTTTTGGTAGCTATCGTTGTTCTCGCGTATGTCAACACACATCACAAGTGTACTAAAAACAGAACTTGTAAATAAATATGCAACAAGTGCGTTCAAAGCTTCAAGAAACATACATACATGTATTTATAATATTTACATGTCACACTTTAGTACTTTTTTTTTTTACTTATCACACGATATTATGTATGTGACCTAATACTTATGCGAGAACAGAGCACGAAATGTGTGTTTGCATTCGCGTTGCGAATAACAACTTTACAAGATACAAGAAATAATTTTAAAAATCTATAAATTAGTAGTAAAATTATAAATGCACATCCTTTACCTTATTTAAATAAATAAAATATCAGGAAGAGAGCAACAAGGATGTTATCGCGCGCGAATGCTTCAGCAAATGGAAGTGACAAACCAAGTTCGAATCCCGAAAGTTTACAGAACATGCAGAGCCATCTACCCGAAGTACTTCTAATTAAAACGCTTGTGATAAAAGAACTAAGGATCGCTTCTTAACCGGCCGAGCGTCTCCGCAAGAAGCACATATTTTGTATCACGCTTGGGAAGATGCTCACCACTCGTGGAGTCGCTGTCGATGGAAAGTTCCAGCACAAGATTGGCGACTTTCGCGAAGAGCGCGCGCGGCGTGATGCGTTGACGAACGCGACGGGACAAAGGACGCTTTCGTACGCAAGCAGAAGGACGCCATGTTCATTTGTCAACGGACGTCAAGGTGTTCCCGTGCGGAAGCAACGAGCAGCTGCCGCCGTTTGTCGTCGGTTAAAGAAATCGCGAAGCGACCGAAACGTCCGGATCCGGAGAACTGAGGGTAGATCCTCTTCGCTTTCTCGTGGCCGTCGTCCTCTCGCCTCGTCATGGAGACAGCTTCGGCAGGCGCGGAGTTGCGGAAGCGCAAACGCGAGGAATACGAGATGCAGCTGTTCGGCTTCCATTCTCGAGCCGTGTACGCGACTAGTAAGTCGCCGTCTGTCTTGTAGCACGACGCGAGATGCTTCTTTCAGAGTTGTACACTTTCCGGAACAGTTTAGGCGGATCTACCGCGCGCCGACGGCTAATTACCTTTTCTCGATCCCGGGACTCGTCCCGTCGCCGCTGGACGGGTGTGCTCTAGTTTCATGTTGCATATGATCATGACTAGAGTCATACTCTTCCAGCGACCGGGACGCTTTCGTCGAAATTCTCGAATATAAAACAGAGTCGAGTCTTTTCCCTTCTTTTGTAACGGACGCCAATCGACAAGGACGCCGCACTGGAAGCGTCGTTCGATGAAAGCGTCCTTTATCTCGGGGATACTTTACTTTTTTTTTTCTTTTTTTTATTCCTTTTCGTTGCATGTTCTGAGACTTACCTTGAGTTTTGTTTTTATATTTTTTTTATCCCGCTTGTGCAATTATGTGCAATTGATTTATTAAATGCTTAATTGCTTGTAATCAGTAGAAGAAACAAAAAAATGAAATGAAGAAGACACACAAACTTCCTCTGAAGTTTTTCAATTCAAAAACACAATTTTGTAAAGAGGTTGATAAATATATAATATATGAAAGAGATAAAAACATTTTTGTTATGACTTTCGAATAAAATTTATTTATTTTTTTACCCTTTTTCAAGCAAAACCATGATTGCATTGAACATGCATTATTTGCTGCCATTGTTCTCATAGCTAAGATACCACCAATCTGAGAAAATCCATGCTTGGCTGCTTAGTAATCTTCATGCTTTCTCTTTGTTCTGTTGTAGTTAGGAACATTGTAATGGAGAGAATACAGTCCAGGAGCAGAAAATTGTGTGAAACTTTGGAGAACAAATATAAGCTAGATTCTGAAAACTTGGCTATTTTAAAGCGGAACGAAGAGAACCTTATAAGAGCGTACTACACAGCTTCTTTGCCTCACTTAAACAACATAGAGGTGATTACATTCAAGAGATAAAAATTTATACAATTTGTATGTCTGAGTATTTGATTAGAAAAAGTTTGCAAGTAAAAACAAATTTTTTTCACCAATTGTGGACACAATGACTGAAAAAATGTCTTTTTTTTACTTTCAGAATGTTGTGAAAAAATTCATTGCTGTGCCCAGCAATGTTCTGGCAGAGGAAGATAAGCTTCAGAAAACGCAATATACAGAGGAAGAGATCGAAAGTAAGCGAAAGACATTGGATGAACTCCAGCAAAAAGCCAAACGGGTGTGTAATATGTCTCATACGCAGTAAAACAAAAATGATAAACACTGCGTCAATTATATGTAAATGCTGAGGACATTTAAACATTACATAATCTTTCTGGTTTTTTCCAGGCTACTATGTTGAATGCAGCATTGAAGGAAGAATTACAGGTCATAGAGCAATTTTCGCTCTGCACAGATAATACCGTCAGGTTGAGTCACGTTGTCGAGAATAGCTCATGTCCGGATGTTACCGAAAAACTTCAACAAGTAGTCAAACATTATAAACAATTGAGCGCGTCCATCAAAGGTCCTGTATCTCCTAAAGAACTTTACAATACAATCAACGGTCTAGATTGCATAGATTACGATCTGGATAGTTTACAATTGTAAGAGAGAAATTATCTATATTTGTATAACTTGCATATTTAAATGATATATTGCTGACATTTATCTTTTTGACATTTTTTGTACATATGTAAATACATGTATAAGCTGAGATTATAATTGTATATAATTTACAATTTTATTAAATCTTTTGTACTTCTCTTTATACAAATTAATTCTGATAATTGTTACATCCTTTGTTGTGTTTTCTCTTGACTTTGAAAACTAGATTTTGTGCCGGTTACCGTTACTCTCCATAGTATCTGTGTGTCGGTGCCATATGATACACGCGTGTCGTCTCTAGATGACGCCAGCTGTCTTTTCGACAGACTTGTGGCTAAGTTCTTGTTTACCTCTTGATGGTTACATGACTTTTCACATGCGCAAAATAAATTTGAATTTTTGGAAAATGTAAATGACACGAGTATAAACGCATAAATAAATAAATTTATAAATTAATTATTTTAGGAATAAATTTATTTGTACAATTTTATTGAAAACAATATCTTAATATACAACTCGAGTTATTTAAGTTAATGTAAAACTATATATTATATTTTTAATACATATAAATATATCCTACACGCTGTTAAAAGTTTATATACTACAAATATAATACATAAAAATAACGTTTAAATATGCTTTTTTTTTTTTATACATTGCCACTTTGTTTTATTATTTCGTACTTATTATTTTGACAAACATTTTTCAGAAATGTATTTTTACACTAATTATAAAAAAATCGCAACGAGAAGCTTCTCTCCGGCAAAGAGAAAATTTGCAGTCTTGAAGAAGCTCAAGAAACATCGAGCGAATTCTATTATCGTTTTGAATGTTCAAAATTCCCTCGACAAGGAACTATAACACAAAACGTTCGATCTCTTCTTGGAAGTCGTCGGAGAATCGGAGAATTGCTTCGCCGGTCGTGCCTCGCTCCTCCCCGTCCCCCACTTTGCGCCCTTCGCAACAGTCTCTCAATCCGATCCTTACAGATAATTCGCGATAGCTAGTTCGCGACGTATCGTTCAAGTAATTGTTAGTTAATGATGAGCGACGATTCTAATGATTTGTCCAATGAGTGTCATCGCACGCTGCGGCTTCTGGAGATGTTGAAACGTACGCATTACGAGCTCGTTCAGGTAGTGATCAACAAAACGATTCGACTTAGTAGAACTTGTTTTCTCTTATCTTCTTAACGAGCACATTAGGACAAATTCACCAAATATAAAAAAATATTCTGTATAATGTGTTAGTTGCTGAAATGTTTTATATGTGAACAACAAAAGTTCTTTAATTAAAGAAGGAGAAAGTGCGTTTTGAAGTATGTATGACACATGTGCGTGCATAAGTTTTTCTAAAATTCAGTTTTTTTATTATTTTAAGAAATATCGACCTTATCAATACATATATAAAAAAAAGTCAATTGTAGTTGAAGGAAGATTTGTGTCCCTGACCAATAGAAAATCTATAAAACGCTAAAGTTATAAAATTTCTGAAACGTTTGTCTCAGTGTTCTTTAAATATTTTCAACTTCTTCTTGCTACTCAAAGCAAGAAATCACGAAATCGTACACATGAATTATTTCCTGGTGCAGGAGAACGGCCAGCGTCGATTGACGGCGCCCGAGATCGCGCGCGATCAACGGCAGCGCGGTAAGGGCTCGGAGGTGTTTTTGGGCCGATTGCCGCGCGACTGCTACGAGGACGAATTGATGCCGATATTGGAACGCGTGGGCCGGTTGTTGGAGCTGCGACTGATGCTGGATTTCTCGGGATCTACGCGCGGCTACGCGTTCGCGTTGTACGAAAATCCACGCATCGCCCGAGAAGCGTGCAATCGTCTCAACGGCTACGAGATCCGTCCCGGGCATCGCATAGGCGTCGTCAAGTCTATGGACAACTGTCGGCTCTTCTTCGGCGGCGTGCCCAAGACCAAGACCAAGCCGGAATTTATAGAGGAGCTGACAAAGTTTCTCGATGGCATCACCGACATTTACCTGTATCCGAGCGCGCACGATCGCAATCTGAATCGCGGTTTTATCTTCGTCGAGTTTAAGGATCACCGTGCGGCCGCGATGGCACGGCGCAAGTTGATACCCGGCAAAGTAATGCTGTGGGACCACGAAATCGCAGTAGACTGGGCGGATCCTGAACCGGGTGATCCGATCGACGAGGACATTATGGAAACGGTGGGTAGTTTTCAAGCTTCACATTGAAGCGATGCTATTGAACAAGTTTTCTTTTGTTTTTGCTTTTGAAGATGTAAATGATAAAAGATTCTTTACGAGAACTGTTGACATTTATTAATGTGTCATTTAACAATTACATGCGAGTGTGATACATCGGAGTAATTATTATTAATTATTATTAAGTATTATTAACAAACAAAAAATGTAAATTATTGAGTATTCCGCGAATACACGCATACATCACTTAAATATAAAAAATGAACAAATTGGAGCGTTTGTCAAAAACTGTCATTGCTCTATATAATGTAATCGTGCGAGTGTTTGTACAACGAATTGAACAAAATTAAAAACTGAAACACGCGAGCTTTTGCGCGCGCAATGCAGATTTATTAATAACTTTTTTATTGAAGTGCTCCGCGCCTTAAAAATCGAATAATAATATTTGCCTCACAGAGGTACTCTCAGTTTTATTTTTAATAACAAAATTTAATAACCGTGAGATTATTAAATTTTGTCTGTATTAAAGTGATTTATTCTTCACGTTAAGTAAACCCGATGTGTATTTTGAATTCAACGTATACAAGACTGTCCTCTCGTTTATTTGTAAAAAAAAAAAAAAAACAAATTTCACAGAAAAAAACGTGGTTAGAAAAAAAATTTTATAATATAAATGTGACGACATTGAGTTCTTGTCGCGACGAAATTACATCATTGTAAGTAACAGCACAGATATGTCACTCCTACTAATTCAATATCGCTGGCGATGACAAATAGGTGACGGCTCTGTTCGTAAGAAACCTCACGCTCGATATGTCGCAGCAGAAGGTGAGAGAGATTTTCCAAAGGTACACGAATGTGCCGATATTGAAGCTGAAGAAGATCAATCACTTTGCCTTTATTCACTACGAGAATCGCGAAGCCGCACAGACCGTAATGGACATAATGCAGAGTGAGTATGTGACGTCAATTAGAATCAAGATAAAAAAAAAAAAAAAATAACTAAAGACAAAGTATAAAGAATTTTGTAATATATAACTTAACACACTATATTATCAATAATTTTATTTTTTCTTGTTTAATATATTCTGTTAATTCGTTTAAGTTTGTTTTTATCTCGATGTCTTCAGAGCCTGATAGCATCGTTGAGAAAGAAGGCTGGGAAATTCGTTGGGCAAAACCGATCGGTGCGTCCAAAATCCTAGAGAGGCAACGATATATTCGCGAGGCTGTGGCTAAATCCAGCACTCAGGTTACTAACACGTCGAATTCACAACAGAAGATCCAAAAGAAACAATATCGCATCCAACCGTCCGAGAAAGTCCAGCAGGAAGACGATAAAGTTTACCTGGCGCAGATCAAGATCTTGCAAAACGTTGTCAAAGAGAGATTCAATGCAACATGCACTTTTGACTGCATTCCGATGTCAGACTCGTCCAATTACGTCGGCAAAGTAAGCGTTTTAACTACTAAAACTTTCTCTCGTTTAAATATGACAATTTCCATTTCATGTTCAATCTTTCGTTCGCATTGTTTTGATTATTCTAGATAACTATTCACAGAGACCAAATAATCTTGTTCGAATTTCAAGGAGGGCCAATGGCATCAAAGCCTAAAGCCATAAGCGCGACATCCATTCAAATGTATCAGTATTTGACGAGCACGTTCCCGACTCTTGGTATGTATAATATTTTGGTATTATAATAAAAGCTCTTGATTACCGCATTCTCTATATCTACGCATTGAATCAAAGGATTTTGGAAATGTTACGTAGATTAAAATTCAGCTGTGTGATGACAAAAAACAAAGAAAAGAAGGGGGAAATATGTGACATTTTAAATATTATAGATAAAATTAAAAGTTTTTACTAATAATCGAGTAAGTTTCATCGCAAAATCTTGTTTGCGCTTTGCTCGCATCATATTTGCATTCTATGTGATGCGTTATACTTTAATATTATTTTCCGTATTTCTATCTCTCTCAACAGCGCCGCAGCAGCCATTTATACACCACTACGTTCACCCGGGAGGAGCATTTAATCCCATGACGTATGCGCCAATTGCCTGGCATCCGGAAGTAACTCAAAATTAAATTTGCGACTCCTATTTATTTGTTCCTCATTCTTAAGTAATTGGTTGTTGATTCAATTGTTTGTTCTCACGCACATAAAACAAACTCTTCGTTTTTTTTTTTTTTTTTTTTTTAACTCTGATTTTAACTCGAATATTTTAACAATGATTGATATTAATGAAATGTTTTAATTGAAACGATTTAACAGAACAATACATATTAATGAAATGTTTCACACTTCAAGAACTGAATTTAATTTTTTATGAAGTTACTGTTTTGATACTTTCGAAGAAGTGTATGTGTGTTTGAGATATATTTATTATTGAAGCGTATAAAATCGCGCTGTTTCAATCAAATTTTAATCTGTATAAATATATCCAAAATATACTCCCTATGAATTTCAATGACACAGATTTTACAAAAATGTATTTTCACTAAAGTGATTTTAATTTTTACAACTTCGAAGTTATAAAATGTACTTTCGGAAAGAAATCCAACAATGAGATATATTTAAATCCAAATTAATAAAGTGATTATCACTTACATAAAACAGCATCTAATGTAATTTTATAGTAAATTTATTTGTGAGATGGAAACACACTGTGTGACGATTATTTTACAAAAACTTGATTTATATTATATTAGAAAATTTGATTTTGTAAACTTCATGCGCTTCACGAAAGTTTCAATGTTCAGTTTGAATAAATTGTATCTATTGTTCAAAATGACAAATGTAATCAGAAAGAAGAATAATTTTAGTTTAGAGAAACGCGTACACGTTAACGTGCTACGTTGTTGAATCTATGATCATGTGATACGTTTTGTAATACTTTCGTGTGTAATCTGTGTCACACACAAGCAATTAATAAAGACACTATTTTTCTAAGTCTTTATATGACTGTTTTTTTTTTTTTTACACTTGTCTTATCGAAATACCTTACAAACCAAACCTATTTAAAAAATTCCAAGTACAATCTATATCTATTTTAATACATAAATTGGTTATAAAATTACTCTCACATTATAAATATAGAAAATTAATCAAATTTACGGTAAAGATATCTCAATAAAAAAATTAGCTTTTTTTTATCGTAAAAAAATTTATGAAAGAAGATTGTGAGATAATACGTATTTACCGCTTCAACGGGAAAGACTTCAGTGCTCTTTGCATCGATGGCAAGACTGTGGAGTAATCCTCGAGAATCCTTCGTACCGTCTCATAATCGGTATTGCCAGTAATGTTGCTCGGTCGCATGCAACGCACTAGTCTTTTGGCCTGCTCGTTACATCCAGCCAAACTGTTCCTTTCCTGCACGCTGAACGTTTCGTACGTGAATGTCAGCAGCTTCTCCACGACGCAGTCGAGCACTTTGTCGCTCGGCAGTTCGCCCCGACCGCTCTCGATACAGTCTTTGATCATGACGTTCATCCAGTTCCAATCCTCCCACATGTCTGATATCTCGACCTTCTGGTTCTCGAGCTGCCACGTCAGCCTTGCGCGATATCTACGCGATAATAAATTAGGTACGTGTTACGACATGAGAGAAAACTTTATTTCAGTAGTAGTTTTTAGTTTCCATTGCATTCAAGAATTCGAGATTGAAAATTTTTTTTTTACATTACAGAACAATTGTGTATTCAAATAGAGAAGTTTTTACATAAACCCAAAAGTTTTTATATTATTTTGTTTAGAATTATTTTGGATAGTGTAACTTTTTTGATCAATATTTGTATGTGACGTTTCTACACATTGATATTTCGATTCAACGACGAAAACTTACGACCAGTTCCATGGATTCATGCTGAATTTGACTTTCTTCAATTTTCCCAAGTAGGCAAACATGTTGTAATCGATATAGCGAAGCTGGTTGTAGTCGAAGTAGAAGTTTTCTAAATTAGGAAGCGCATAAAAGATCGTGTAGTCGATCCCTTGAATAAAGTTGAACGACAAATCGAGGGTCTGCAGGGACTGCATGTTCGCGAACCATACTCCTGGCACGTATGTCAGTTTATTGCCCCAGAGCATCAACTTTTTCAACTTTGTAAGGCCTACGAATGCCTGTGCGTCACATGTCTGTATGCCCGACTCGTGCAGATCTAAAGTCGTGAGAGTAGCCCCGAATCTCGCAAAAAGGTGTCTTTGATAGAACGAAATAAAATTTGCGATTACTTTCAACATGATGCATTTTTGAATTTGCATTGATATACGTGATAATAAAAATAATATTTGTTTTAACAAAACAAATATTCAAACTTTACACAAATATTTAACAAAATATTACACAACATATAAAAAACATATCGCATAGAGAAAATAAACATAAAAGAAACATTATTAGAGAAAATACACGTATAAGAATTTTTATAAAAATAAATATACAAAATTTTATATAAAAGATTGATTGAGTCGTAATTCATGTTAGATCGAATTTTTTTTTCACGTTCGTTTGTTTAGCGGCTTCTTCTTACCCTGGTATATTAGGTATATCAGAGTCGAAAATCGTGATGATCGTTGTGTTGGTTGCCGCTTTGTCCAAATAATTTTGCAGCGTTTTTATTTCGTTGCACCGAAAGCCAACGTCATTCGTTCTTTTGTAAGTAATTCTTACGCACGGTGACTGTGACAAAGTAGCCCCGGCAAAAAACACATAAAGGAGACAGATTAACAGTAAACGCTTCATTGTTGTAAAACTTCGCCCGCGACGGAATCGTTGAAGCAACTGAGCATTCACGACAGCGTGAGCGATAGACAAACATGAGGCGTGGGCGGAATATCGTCCTCGCGGCTTCTTCCTCTTGTCGATGATAAAGCAAATCAGTTTCAACAGGAATAATTGATATTTTCATTAGCTATTTTTGCGATATCCAACATCCGAGTGTCGCTTAATTTTTCAACAATTTATGTTACATCATTTTATTTACGACGTATTTTTTTTTAATTTTTCTAATATTGTGTCATAATATGTGTGTCATACATCAGTGGAAAACTTTTCTTCAGGTGCAGAGATTGAGTTTCACGCTCACGAAATACTCGTTTAAAAAAAAGGAAAGTCCTAGAAAATTGTGAAAAATTAGTGGAAAGTGGAAGGTACTTGCGAATGATGGTAGAAACATTTATTGTCATACATATATACACAAATGCCACAAGTCTCATTAGAGATAAATACTGTTCCTAAAAACGAAACGAATCCATTTCAGTCAGTTTTGTACAGACCTCGACAAAACTCCAATTACATATCTCTTCCTCATAGAGAGACCTTTCTCTCTGTATTTTACTCTCTATTGATGTACGTACATCTACTATTATCATTTAAACGCGCGATAATTATGCGAAAACATCGGAACAATTCTCTTCTCGAGAATGTTGTACGTTGTTATTATTAAAAAAGTTACAAGCTGACGTTTTCGACAAACAGAGAGCAAATTTCTCGCATCGCTTTACGTGTCCGACAATGAAAAACTTAATTCTAACAACTTTCTTGTATGTAAACGTATTCTAGATAAATATATAATGGCAATCACAAGCGTGCATTTTTAACAGCGTGACTATCTATTTGTCTTGAGTATACGTATATAACTACATTTATTGTCATAAAAATGTTCTCGTTATTTACAGCGAAGTGTATCGATGTTCTCGACGAATATTGCGTTTTTTCTATGATATATGTATCTCTGAACGAAGATACTGTGAAAAATGACAATATCGAGTACCGGTCATACTCTCTCGTTTCGTAAATATCAATCAAACCAAATCATGACAAACAGTTTCTCGTTGAGATTAAACGTTATATTTCATAAAGAATTTTTTTTTCCCCTCGCAAGTTTAGGTGCGAAAGATTACCGCGATAATTATTACGACGAGTCCAATGTAACAAAATTGCCGATCGGACACTGATCGAACGCCGTTTTGAGCACCCAATTGTGTCGGTGCCGAATGCGCCGGTACCGGCGCCGGAAACTCAGACACTCTCGGTTTGTTCGCCGTGTTCGGCGAGAAGTTCGACGCGTTTCTTCTGGACATCGGCGTGGTGTAGTCCACGTTCTTCGGAATCAGTTCCGGCTCTGCTTCGTCGACCACGTGCGAGTACTTTTTTCCCTTCCTTCCCATTTCTTTGTGCAAAATGTGCTTCTCGATGATTTCGGTATTGCGTACGGACGTTACGGAAACTTTCGTCGGTTTCGGTAAGTGCAGTTCTGCAACGCCACATCGAAGAAACGGGATTATTTATGACGACAAAATTGAATACATCGCGCGACGAAGAACATTCGTAGAATCTCCACTTTAAAAAAAAAAAAAAAAAAAAAAACGTCTATCGAGTTTGATCAATTTTCTGTTTCACATGCTCTTCACATGCGTGTCAAATATATCCGGGTTTCGATATGTAATTATATGAGAGAAGGATTTAATAAAGCTATTAATTTATTAGGAATTTTTAATTAAATTGGGAATCCGGAGTAAAATTATTGCACACAAATTTATAATGTCGGTTATTACATGTACCTTGTAGTCTAATGGAACCTTCCATTTTTCCGAAAGCATTTTCAGCTACACACGTGTAGCTACCGAAATCGGACCGATCGAGTTGTCTGACAGTGAGTTTCAGTTGATATGTATAATCGTTGATGGTTACTTCCGATATGTTGTGTTTCTCGTCCTCTAATATTTTGATTCCTGAAGATACATACGTCTAATTCGTTTTAAAGTTTGAAAAAAAGATACAAAAATGTCATGCATTTGCACACGTCGTACATTTACTATTTCTAGATGACATGCGATTAAAATATATGTAACGTATATAACACATTTTCCAAAGATCTGACGATAAAATTATTAATGACAAACAGAATTCACAATTTGGCGTGACAATTGTCACAGAGAACGATAGATGTGTATTTTTTTTATTAACTTGTTTCAACATTTAGTGAGAAAAATATTTAATTTTTTTTTATCTCCTAGCGCACGGTTTTATCTCGTCGAAATTTTTTATACACATATTATGTATAAAATAATATACGCGTTGAAATATATAAACGCGTTAAAACACATTTTGATGTAAATATTTTTTGTTAAAAAACAACAGAAATGTAAATAACCGGAGTGACAACTAAAAGAAATATTTACAAAACTTTTTGACTCTTAGTATTTATAAATTTGTTATATTTGTAATAAAACAAAAATAAAAATAAAGACACAAGTAGATCTTTGCGCATACATCAAAAGCTGAGATGCTTCTCACCATTATTTCTATACCACGTGTTCAGAGACTTCGGCGAGGACTCCACGTAGCATTGAAGAAGAACGTCGCTGTCGACGGGCGCCGCTACTAATTGGTTCGAGATTTTAATCAGCGGTGCAACTTTAATGAAAAAGATGCAATTAGTCGCGTAATTTAAGCAGCTCCGAACGGAGTTGCTATCTCGCATAGCGGTAGCGCACTTACAATGAACATTGACGTAATATCTTTTGCTGACCGACGGTGGCACTCCGTTTGACGCGATGCAGAGATAAGATCCCATCTCTTGTCGCAGAACGTTTTTCAGATGAAGCTGTTCGCCCTCGAACGTTCGCGTTGTTTTAACTTACAAAACGTGAAACACATAAAACAAAATTAAGAAAAACTTCAAATTCATATTTTTCTCGACACTTTTATTTTAAACAATTGAACTTGTATATCTCTCTCAAATGAAATTTTTTCTTACAAAATAGAGAGAAAAAAAATCTCTTCTAAGAAAACAAAGATTTAATTTATTTTTGTTTACTTTTATATAAATTTTTTGTGCTTTGAATTTAAAATAAAACATCTAGAACGCTTCTGAAAGAAAGTCGCTTTGTTTTCTGACGTAGTCATTTGAAGGCTCTTGAAACAGTACAAAAGCGGGAATATCGATGTGCGAAGAAGACGGGAGTTACCCCGAATAGAGATACCGCGCGCCAATGGCGCACGCTCTCGCGACGCAGTGTACACACCGCCGCATATTGCAATCGAGGGGCATACGAGAGAGAGTCGATAGCCGGGAGTCGCACGCGGCGAAGAGGAAATATATGTAAAGTCAACATCCATCACTCACAGTCAGGAAGGCTAATCGGATGGCTGCTTTTCCGCGGGACACGGGGCGCTTTTTAAAAAGTGATCCCCGGGATATATTTCATCTCCAAAATCACGCACCCTCGTAACGCGCGGATCAATTAAAGATAAATCGTCTGGACGGTTCCGTTTAGCCGCGATCAATCCGCGTCCTTTTAGAAGTCCGATTCGGTTAATCAGTCATACCCGACGCTGCCGCTGGGAACTTCATTTATTTTCGCTAGTAGCGCATTTCGCGTTAATGGCGAGCCTCATCGTGGTGTTGGGATGTGATGGAATTTTAATTCACCATTTCAAGACCGCGACGGGCCGGTTATCTCTCTTTTACGCAATAATACAAGCATTACCGAGGGGAAATTAACTAAATCAAATTAGATCACCGGGTCCCATTATCATCCGCGAATTATATACCACTCCAGTCTCAAAATTAGCACGTAAAAGCGTGTGTCAACGTCAGTCACATCGTGTTCCACATCGCAAAACATATTATCTTCTTAAACAAATTGTTTAAATAAATTAAAATAAACGCTAATAAGAGTCTTTCTCAAATGTGTGTTTATAGCTTTTTTTTTTTTTTAAATATTTTTATATCAGTTTTTTTTTTTCACAAAATAGATTACTTAGCGCATTCGTACTTTTCTTCGTGTCGTGCTCGCTTCTCAGAGTGATGTTTCGGCCGTCTTCTCGTCGCCAGATTACCACAGGTTCCGGATTACCTGTAGCTCGACATCGCAGTTGCACGTCGCCGGTCTCCTTGGTCGTGAGAAGATCAGCCGTGTCGTCCAGATCCATAATGTCCGGAGGTGTTACAACTTTCATGTGTCCGGTCTATATACGCGCACAACACATTCATATCCATTATCCATCTTTCAGAAAAAAACCTTTTACCGTTTCCGCGTCGGAGGTCTAAATCAGTTTTGATCGTGTGCCGTATTCGATCAAATTAAGCCGGAATTAATATCCGCGATGAGAAGAAAGGAGCATGAATATTCAATTGCGTGATATCTCGGAGATATAACTGCATTAATAATGTAAAATATTTGATTTTTCTCGTCGACGTGTTTGAAATCGTTTTCGAAAAGGAGAGCAAGAAACGAGAACAAACTCTCTCTTTCTCTCTTTCGGCGGTAAATACGTAATGACGCTGAAAATTATTCTCTCTCGCGTTTAATTTTGTTCCTTTCATTTGCCGGGGCAACAACGCGAGAAGGATTTGAAAGAAATCCGTTCGAGTTAAAAAATGTAAGATAAAGTTTAAAAATGTAAACTGTCAGAAGCGAATTTCATATCGCAACACGACGACGGCTTCCGGTTCGCGGTGAATGTTAACCCGTTGGCTTTTTGTGCAACGTACACGTGTGTGTGTGTGTGTGTGTGTGTGTGTGTACGCAGCATTTGTGTACGTAGCATTCACGCGGTGTATTTGCGTTAAACACGGCGAGCAAGAGCATCCGTCGCTATTCGGCGGGTAATAGAGAGGACGGCCGTCGGTGTAATGCTCGAGCGATACTACTGACCTGGCTCCTCATAGGATCCGTATTAACCTGACACATGTACGTGCCGGAGTCGTTCGGTTGCACGTTACTCACGTGCAGCTTCCATGTGTTATGGCCGTTGTGAGTGACGGACAGACGCGGGTTGTGTGCCACCATGTGCGTGTGAATGGCCAAAATCGCCCGCGAATCCGACTTTATCCAGGCGACCTGCGCGTGACAAAAGTGCTCATTTCGCCTGCAGCAATAAGCGGTTGAAGATATGTATGTGCGGCTACGAAACCGGACAACACATTGTCCGTTTTAAATAGGGATATTTGACGCCTATTAATTTATCCTACTGGTTAGTGATTTTTACTTAGTACATTCGACTCGTTTCTTCTTTTGTTTTTTTTTGTTTTAGCGCTGCAAATATATAATATAATAAACATTTGTACGTTTACGTTTCTTTGTAAATTGATTTCCATGTCAAATATTAATATGTTTTCGATATGGTCTCGCGAACGGTTTGATACTTGAAAAATCTACACTTAATTTACGTTTGGCAAAATTTACATTGATAAACCAGTATTTGATTTAACCACACGCAACGTTAACAAATATGTCTTTTGATATTTACACAGAAAGCTGTAAACGCATATATGCGCATGTGCGCACACGATCGGGTAAAATATAGATAAACCGATTCTTCGAAAAACTTCATTTGAGATCCAACAAATTATTTTAATAGTAATTCAGTAAAATTACTGCAAAATATATATTAAATATAAATTTTGTCATGAAACGTAATGCAAAAAAATCTTTCAAATTTCGTGTCAGGAGTTCGTAAAAAAAGTTTCTCAACGGTTTACATAAAAAAAAATACTATTTCCCTACATTTTCATAGCAATACCTTCTTGTACGAGCGCAACAAAGAACGCAATAAAGATAAATAACGTTGTATATGCGAGCGCAGGAAAAGAGATTCGTTTTTTCTAGAGCAGAAGGTTGCATTTTGCACGAGAGAGCTCGAACAGAGAAAGAAAGTGAAAAAAAAAAAAAAAAAGAGAACAAGTCAAGTCTTGCACGAAAAGCGCCGAACTCTTCATTAGTATGGCGCTTAAAAAGCGTGCTTACGAAAGGCGCTTATCGGTATTCATACCGTTTTCTCTCTCTCTCTCTCTCGAAATTCCGCTCAGGTTTACGTTGCCACCCCTTCCGCGTTCCCCCCCTTGCGAGGTTTCCTTTTCCTTCTCGATCTGTCATATTTCAAACGCGGCGGCGCACAGCCATTGAGCGTGCGAAAGAGCTTTTAAACCGCGAACAAAAGCTCTGTGTTGCCGTGAGTTTCGATCGGCAATAGAATTTAAGACGCGCATAAATACGATGAAAGAGTATCGCGATCTACCTGTGCAGTCAATTTGGGAGAGAGCACGCTTTGGATGCGAACTCTCTCTCGTACACACGGAGAGCAATTGCTGATGAGATGTTCCTCGTGTGGACATCCGATACATTTGATGAGATATGTATATCTATAGTATATCTATAGTTGTATTATATCTCAGAGCGTATATATATTGCGTAAGTGCGGGATCCCCCGCATTTGCGCGTAGCCAAGTTTACTTGCCGGTAGTCCAAATTCCACCAGTATTGGAATTACGCGCGCCTCTTTCATTTCCACATAGAACGCGTATTTTTTTTTTGCAAAACGTTGTTTACGAAACAATATATCTCGCAGAAGACACAAGTTCGTTTCTCAATGAATTCGAAATAAACCTCGCTGCTGACGCAACACTATTCGCATCTAATTGCGAGGTTTGGATTTCTAGAGAGATAGAGGCAGTAGTTAGTAGTAGTAGTAGCGGAAGACTTTGGGGATACCGGCTGCGCGCCCCGGTTGTTGCGTGGGACTGCACAGCAAAGGCTTAAATTTCTGAGATTAGACACCCCAACGGGATACACGAGACACGGCTACGTGTAATGCGACTATACTGAGAGTTCGAGACCGCTTGCCAAATTAAACAGCTTTCCCGGTTACGCAAATAAGCGCGCATTTTTCGTCACGCTGTTTCGTTTTTCTTTTTTTTTTTTTTTTATCGCACGACGTACCTATTCGACGCAAAAAATAAAATATGCATGTATATATATTGCACGTGCAAATATCATATGGAGAAAAAAATGCATATCCGAAATGATTAAACAAGAGCAACGAATGCTAAAAATATTTTGCGCGCGGGAGGTTTCTCTCGCACGTCGGTATATCTAAAAACGAGATGTGAAATAAAAAGGGAGTAAAAGCGTTATCGGCGATTATTTATCGGAAATTGAACGAAACTGAAATTAAAAATTTATGCGCACGGACGCACTCAGATATAAATAATCGCAAATGTCGGGTTCGAAAAAAAAAATACGAAATTTATATTATAACTGCGTGCGCAATGTCATAAGAATTTTTGCACTGCAAATTCAAATTCTCTCTCTTTCTTTTTTCGCTATTTTTGTTTGTCTAAAATAACTTCTGGCGGATTTGCAAACCTTGTATTTGAAAAAAAAACATACATTCTAATTACAATATTGCAACGATTTATTTTATACTTTTCAAAAAAGAGGTAGTTTGGTTCGTGTTTTAAATAAAAACAAAAAACGCACAATTTAAATTCATATTACTGTTTTTTTTTTTTTTTTTTTTGACACGAGTCTCCGCGTGATCGACATTTTGCTGAAATGCGTAAGGTGCATATAAACGGCGTTGCGAAGTCAGCAGCACTACGGTGATTCTGCGAGAACCGGCGATGGAAGAAGAGAGGTGGAAGCGAGAAACCCGGCAGCAAAAATCAGGGCTATTCACCGACGCTATATTAGCGGATCTGATTTATGTTCTTTCTTCCGTCGTTTCCTTTCTCTTTCCGGCGAGAGAGTCAACCCTTGCGGCGGAGCCGCGAGCGACAAGACGGTGGCGAGCATCCCTCGAACACGCTCCAACAGCGTTAAGAAACGCGATAAAGAAACGATTGTCGCGATCTGAGCGCGCAATCAAACTTGGATTTCTTCTTGAAAGTAAATTACTCGTCGCGTCTGTCCCAGAAGAGATTTTCCGAGATCCTGACGCACACACAGACGTTTTCCACACGTGCGCGCACACGTACGTCAATGAACTATATAGATACAGGCGAAAAACATCTTCTCGCGTGTTAAATCACGGTCAATGCTGGCTGGCGCCAGTGAGATTACGTCAAAAAACATACGACCTGCTGACTCATCGGCCAAATTGCACGAAAATCGATAATGTGTCCGGTGAAATAAAGTAGAGAGTATACAAATATAAACTCTCTCTCGAAAACAAACAAGTTTAAATTGTAACGACAGGTTCTTCCGAAGCCGAGATTCGATGGCGAACTCTTCTTCCGGGTGAAATTACAAAGGCGATTTCGATAATCATCGATGGAGAGAGCTTTCAAAGCAAACGAAGCTTTTCGAAATCTCGCAAACAGATGAAAAACTCGATTTTTTTAGCTCATTTCGCGCACACTTTACGTTAATTTTAATCTCGGTTCACTTGAGCAGAATTTTAAATAGGAATATTTGAAAAGATAAAAATCGAAAACTAGCGGTATATACATACGTATACAATAAAATCGAAGTAAAACGCGACTCTCCAAATTGAAATTTGATTATATACTTCCGCGTCGAGTTAAGAAAGTCTTTTTATACACTACAACGTGCGTTAAAATCCACGATAAAATTTTTTTGCGTACGACGAAAATCTATTTAATGCTCGGTTGTATTTTTGTTGCGGACTTTTTAAACTTTTTAAATCGTGTCATGCGAAAGAACTTGGTCGTTTCAGAAAATGTCAAACTTACGGCGATTTATAAAACTCTATTTTTACTATAAAAATTCAATAGTTTATAAAAAGGCGATCCTTTAAATAACTGAGGTATATGACAGTTTTAGAAAAAGAACTTCCGCTTTTTACGAAAAGACACACAAAAGGAGCGCGCAACAAATATGTATACATATACATCTGCGTCGCTATATGCACAATATAAACATGGCGGAAGCAAGCGTGACGGATCAGAGTATAGAGCTGTTTTAAGCTGGGTATACACCTAGCGAACGAACGCCAAACGAACAGCGAGCGCAAACGTTTGTTATTATCATTCGTCAGATTTATACGCCAAAACAAATGCGAACAGAACATTTGATTCGCATTTGGTTTGGTTCCCTCATGA